AAAAATAAAAGGGGGGCATTAAAGAAATGCACTGTATAATACGTCAGCCAGGAAAGGAGTATCTGTTTTTCAGCATAAGTATCCGTAAATATAAAAAATAATTGTTGGAAATATCTATAAAAGTAATAATTTCGACATCCATAAAAATCACCGGCAATTTGTGACACTTTACATCATTATTTGCATCGACCTCTCACAGAAACAATTAATCTCTCACAGAAACAATTAAAATTCAATTATCAATATCATTTTTGAATCAAAATCTTAACCAGAAATAAATGATAATTCATACGCCACCATCATTATAGATATATACCGCCACCTTTTCTCTTTTACTTGCTACAATGATCAAATAAAATTATGAGCTTGACTCTGTGTTGGCTATTATTGAAATCGGAACACCCACATTTCCACTTTGGTTTTCATCAACTCAACTAGTTATTGTTCTATTAATGGCCTGCTTGACCCGTAATAAATGATGAGGGGTGCGATACCCCTCTCATAAATTTACACTTACACAGACAAGAACAGATGTTCTCGTTGGGAAAAGCGTGCCTTTCCCATCGTTATGAAGTGTGTTACTGAATAAATTATTGTTTTCGTATTATTTACTTATACAATCTGAAATATAAACCCTGCCTTCAGTCGATATTACTACGTGGTCACTATATGAAGTAGTATTTTCCACTGTTGGTCAAAAAATCTAAAATACTACATGACTGAAATGCAGTTGATAGCTTCAAAAAATCCAAATTGAAATGAAAATAACGCAGCAAAATTATTAGGTATAAATAGAGATATTCGCATATCCATAAATACATTTTAATTAAATATCAAACGTATATGTCGAATAAATAATCATTGCTAGTCTATCTTTATTAATAACAAACTAACAAAAATTATTTTTTGGGGGTTCAGCCAAAAAACACGAATATTAAAAGTTACTGAAGTTATATAGGAAGTTACATATAGTGTAAACTTTCACAATTGCCTTAGACAAATAATAAAAATTTAATGTCTTTCACATAATTAAACAGAAAGACCCTAATTGTCTTCATTTTTCATCTGAACAACTGAAAATTTGTATCAAAAACGTATGCATCTTAATAAGTTTCATAACAAAAATCAATATACTTTTCCATAACTACGATAGTTAAGAAATAGGGAAGAAAAACCTAAATCTAATTTTATACATCATCCGCCAAAACCGGACAATAATTAAAAGCAAATATAATTTTTCAAAGATAGTTTTCAATGACCACATCACTTTGGTAAACCAAAAAAAATGTATAAGAACTTTTCTGTACAACTGTCATTATGAACATTCACAAGAATTAAATTGAACCAAATCATTTTTTGTACAACTGTCATTAAAAGTGACATTTTTAATGGTTATCAAAAGTATTAAAATATGATGTTTACAAAGTAGCGTGTTAAAAATATTTTCAATACTAGTGTTAAACGTATTTTTAACACGATTTTTTTCGACCAAATAACAATAAACAAAACATATATTTAATTTTCAAAGAAGTTTTGTTATGAACATTAGATAAATACAATAGAATTCTGTTACGAATATATTATATACATTAAACACCAGCAAGAACTTTAAATGTGGCCTTAAATAAAACGCCTGAGCTGCAAACAATATACTGTTTGTTGGTAACCAGGTGATTCGGTGTCACCTGACATGGCCACTTCACAGAAAATGCGATAACATGATAATAGTCAACTGACAAGATTTGTCAAGATGTGTTTTTATAGAAATGATAAATTTATCTATTTTATTATAAAAACAGGACAGTTGTACAAAAAACTTTGTATGATATTTGTGTTGAAAGTAAGTTTTATTTTGTTCACTCACAAACAGCTTTTATGACTTTATCTTTCCAATCTCACATATTCATAGAATTTATATTCTAATACAACGAAAGAAATTGAAACGTATATTTCGTAGATATACCACGTATACTGTGAAGAACAGAATAAATCAAAGATCCATCGTTAAGCCTCATAAAAGAACCAACCTTGTGTCGTAACTCTGTCACTAAAAAAAAATTTCATGATTTTATTTATAGATAATTTCATACCACTCTCAATGTATACCTACTCGTAAAAAGTTCATTTTTTGCACAATTGTTTTTCATATTTTTTGTCATTCATTCTATTCATCATGCATATTGTATATTTTCAATAGAACTATTTATATTATCATAAATATGATCATCAATAATTGATGATTTGGGTATTACTCCAAAAATTATTCATTATTTTTATTGTCTTCTACAGATTTCAAATAGTCGAAAATCGTCTTCAAGTTACATAAGTTGTTTATATCTTCGAAATGAATAAATATAGACAATTGCTATTATAAAGAATCAAATTTCAGTCACTTCTTGGATTTTTCTATTTCGAAGTCAAGTTTATTTACATGAACCCCAATCTCAAATTCATCCTGCATTGGATTCTCAACCATTATTTCTCTAAAAATCCTTTGTCAACGGAATCTATTCAAGACATTTTCCATGTCCGTAAAGAAACAGGTAACATTGACCTCCATCGGTCAAGTCAATGGTCAACATACAATAGAATTAATTTACGAAGATAAGTTGGGCTATTACTTTTAGGACATCATTTAAAATATGGATTCGATAGATTTGCCTTTTGAAAAAGCTTTTGTAGAATTATATTAATAGATATCTTCAGACAAGAAGATTATAAGTTAATATAATATGTCAATGACATGAACTACAACTGACATAATTACAACTAATTAATACAGTTTATTGTATGATTTTCACTATAAAGGGTTTTACAAAAACCGCGACAAGTGTTCTACACAATAGCTTTCTGAAGCATAAACTAAAACTAGTTTTAAGATATTAGTTTTAGTTTATGCTTGAGAAAGATATTGTATAGCGAAACACGTGTTGCGGTTTTTGTAAAACCCTTTATAGTGAAAATCATACAATAAATTGTATTGATTAGTTTTAATATGAATTTTCATCAAGTATCGGCCAATTCTAGTCAATTACTTAATTAGACAATTTAGACTAGAATTTAATACAACAATAATACTTCCAAGAGTCCAACAAGATAATTTCTTCAGAAGTAGGAACATATTAGGATATAACCAACAAAAAAAAATCAATCAGAAGCTTCACCAGCAAAAATGAAATGCTCAACTAGTGCATAAAATACTATCCGAACCCACGCATACCATGCACGAGTTGATATCACCAATCCTCAACTGATGAAATCGTCCGCCAAAAAAAAAAAGAATTTGCAATATTGTTCTAACGATTATTAAAAAATAAAAACAAACAAATAAGGTAAGCTATGCAATTGAAATGTGTCAATCGTAGAAATTATGTGCGATCAAGTTTTTTATTGAAAATAGATTATGAAATAACGAATAAAATATATATTTGAGGTTGTAGAAATTTCCTTTCGTAATGGCGATTTTTTTAAATAAAGCAGTTTGTAGAGATAAATGGACAGATGCATATTAATTTTTCACAAAAAGTACATCAAATGTTTATTTAATAATCGAATAAAGTTCAAATTCATACCGTTTATATCGTGGGTTTCAAATTTAGTAACATGAAGGGTGAATTTTCCAGATAACTGGAAGGAAAATCACATCCTCCAGTGTTGAAAACTACTACTTTTGTCATTTATGAATTTTAATAGTTTATGAAAATATTGGGGAATGGGAATGGGAATATAATCTTCTTCTCATTAAATACGCATCAAAATACGTAAGTGCGTACACTCAGAAATTTTTTCAAAATCGCCGGGTGCCCTCAAAACGAATATTTGCTAATTTTTCTTGTTTAATATTGGAACAATTTTTTTAACTCGAGGAAAATGACAAAATGTTTTATTTTCAATATACTTTTGAAAAAGTTGTAATTTAGTTTGTAAACTAAAAATACGTACACTGTGAGAGGTCAGATATTATTTCATCTTTCCCCTGCAATTGTGCATTCAGTGTTTGCAAATGTTCCATGACATCAGTCAAAAAAATAAGTCTTGTAACCACTCATCTTCGTCTAATTCTGCAATATTTCACTTAGTCTTTCATATTTGTTGTCAGTAATTTAAAAGACATTTTGAAGCACATACGGAACAGTAAAATTTTTCAATATAATAGCACAAAAATGAACAGGAAAGTCGGGTACATTTATCGAGAGCCACAAATAATCCTTCAAAGAGCCGCACGTGGCTCGCGAGCCCTTTATATAATGCTGTTCAAAGACAGACATCTATTTGATTCCTACAAAACAGTCATACCAAATAATTCATTTAATAATTCTATTATTTGATACGGATACTATGGTTTTGACATTTAATTGGGATATTTCGACTTTGAATTTGGAGTTTTAATTATGAAGTACCTAACCCAACACTTTTATCTTGCTATCAGTAATTATATCTACTCAACACAGTTTCCTAAAAGTTCAACTTCAAAGTAGATATCATTTGATAGAAAATGGACATTATCAAATTCCAGGTTTTTTCCGTTATTGTAAATCGATATTATGAAAAATTATTAGAGATTCTTCGACGCCGTCATAGTTTTCACACAAATTCAAAGCTTATGTAGGTACAACGTAAAACGTTTCAAGGAAACTTCTAGATATTCTCTCAAAAAGTTAACTGCCATTGAATTTAATTTTCTTCACGACTTTTCATCTGAACATTTTGATTTCATAGTAAACGTGACTTTTTCATTTCTTCAACTTTTTTTTCATTCACTAAAAGAATGCGTGCCAATCTCGCGCCAAACGCGCGTCAGTCACGTTCCCACAGCCTTCTTACCACGTTCCCATACAAACACCAAATTGCTTCGAATAAATTACTGAACATATGGTGCGTAATCGCTCGACCGTCCTTTCCTATTCTAAATAGACTCGAGTCAAGCTCCAGCCCTGTTCCCACGGTATCAGCGTAGCCCTGCACCTGGCCCCCACCCTTATAAAACCGCCGAGCGCCCTCCGGTTCATCATTCAGAGTCCGACTCTCACGCAAGTAGCTTCGCGCTAGTTAACCGAGTGCCTTTAACCAAACTTTACGATGTCTTACGCCGCTGTGCAAGAATCTCAACCTATCTCGCGTACTTTGCAGTACCGCAAAGTCATGAAACCGATGTTGGAGCGAAAAAGAAGAGCCCGAATTAACCGCTGCCTCGACGAGCTCAAGGATTTGATGGTGTCCGCCCTGGCCACGGACGGGGACAACGTCTCCAAGCTGGAAAAGGCCGACATCCTCGAGCTGACAGTGTCCCATCTTCAGAAGTTGAAACGTCAACAACGCCTGTCTGTCAATCCAGTAGTGGAAGCTGACCGATTCCGTGCAGGATTCACCACGTGCGCCAAGGAAGTTTCCAAGTGTTTAGCGTCGACTCCTGGAGTAGATGTCCATCTGGGCACCAAGCTGATGACACACCTTGGACACAGTTTGAAAGGTATGGACCGAGTGTCGCCTTTGTCAGTACCTAGTGCGTACACTCCACCAGCCTCTCCTGTTTACGATGAAGGTATCCAGTACCATATGCCACCTTCTCCGTCGTCTTCTTCGAGGAGTTCTCCGAGCCCTATCAACTACTCCGTAGACGTACACACCGAATCAGTATGGAGACCTTGGTAACCGATACTTTTTTGAATGAATGAAATTTGTCTTCCAATTTTTCAAATTGCTCAACCTGCTTTAATCTTAGATTAGTTTCTTGTAGCTTTAATTTTTGTTTTAATTTTTCTGACTGTGATATTTGTCGTTAATAATGAATAGGGCTTAGTTCTCCATGTTTTTTATCAGATACTGTCTCCATTTGTTTCGAAATTGAACTGACTGTAAGCTCTCTGTGATACAAAGATTTAAAAGATTTATTGATGAGAATAAAACTATTTTATTACTAATTCGTGTATTCTTTCTTGTTCTTTTTCAGGTTATTAACAAATAATAATAATGGAAATGATATATTGAAATTGATATTAATAATTTCAAACTGACTTTATGAAAGTTAAGGGTAATTCCAATTTCCTGTACATTTAAAGATTATTTTCAATATGTTGGTACTATTAATATTATTGGGTATGAACAAAATGAAAAAACAAAACGAAAGTGTATCTAATTGAAAAAAATTCGAATGAAAACCAGATCAGAATAACAACAATGAAGGTCTCAAAAAATTATAATGACATAGGGCATAGATGCCAAAAATAAAACTGATTCATATACCTTATATATAATAAAATGAGTTGGAATTCACAATTATTATTTTGCATTGAACAATTAAAAGAAAAACAGTTATCAGATCAGTCAAAGATATTTGAGTTTTGTGTGATTTATATATTTATTTATATTCAATCCAATACCAACCTTACATCTAATACAAACAATTAATTCTGTTATTCTCAACTGACAAAGAATAACTTTAAAAATAATTCCAAGTATGAATTAAGACCCTAATGGCATTTGTTGGTTTCTATGCCTCAGTCTCTATTTATGTACAAATAAGATTGTGTCGTCTGTTACCTCTTTGAGGTGTTAAAAAAACTGTTAGGTGTTGGTAAAAAACTCCAGTAATATTTATTACTACACCAAAGTTTCCAAACAGTGCATCCATCACAAGTATCTTTCATGTTCATCGAAGATCTATGTTCGGACCGTTTTTTAAGCGTCAAAACGCACTTATAAAATTAATCACAGCCCCTATTAGTGAAATTGTGTCCTTGATTGCTCAAATATATATTTTTTCCTAGAGGGTTTCTTGACTTTTAGTGGACTTCTATTTTTCTTGAAATTAATTTAGCGTTATTCAATTTGAATTGAGAAGCTGAGTTCAAAAAAAGCGTGTTAAAAAGTTACTATTTTATGCAAATAAACTATTTTTCATATACAGTGTCATCCCCAAAGTATGCACCATATGGGAAACTTCTATATTAAGGGTTTTTCGACAAGAAGTTATTCCAGATAAAAGTTTGTGCATCTCCTAAAACTGAACATGCACCAACAAAATACAGTAAAATACACGTAATATACGAGGAGCCTTCAAATATTTGATTTTGAGACAGGAGTAAAGTACTCTTATTTTGAAAAATCTCGGGAAATATTATTTGAAGAAGTTGTTCACCATTGGAACATACATCTAGATTTGAAGTCATGGCCATCTAAGTGAAGTTTTATTTTTTGTACCCATTTTTTTGAAATGGAGACTACGAAAAAAAAATTTGCAAAAACGATAAATAGACAGCATTCTGTATATGATGTTTCATTTTAAAAGCCTGCAATATTACAAATTATACAACTATGGTGTTAACCACCGTCAATTTTTTTGAAGAGTAAAATAGTATTCGAAGTTTTTGGTGCAAAGTTATTTTTATTTTTTGTTAACACCGAAAATTACTCAAAATTATACAGTTTTGTAACAAGAACTTAATATTCAATAATATAAAATCACAAAACATCAAAATAAAATAAGTATTTTGGAACAAAATCATTTATTTTTTAGAATTATTTTGGACAAAAAAATCTCCAGAAAATCAACGAGTTTGTTCCGAAATACCTATTTTATTTTGATGTTTTGTAATTTGATATTATTGAATATTGAGTTCTTGTTACAGTACTGTATAATTTTGACTAATTTTTGGTGTTAACAAAAAAATAAAAATACTTCGCACCAAAAACTTTGAAATTATTTTACTCTTGGAAAAAATGACCGTGGTCACCACCATAGTTATGTAATTCGTAATATTACTGGCTTTCAAAATAAATCTATGCTAAATAGATACTATCTGTTTATCGTTTTAGCAAATTCTTTTTGTAGTGCCCATTCAAAAAAAAATGGGTAAAAAAATAAAACTTCACTTAGATGGCCATGACTTCAAATCTAGATGTATTTTTCAATGCTGAACAACTCTTTTAAATAACCTTTTCCGAAATTTTTCAAAATAAGAGTACTTGACTCTTGTCTCAAAATCAAATATTAAAGGCTCCTCGTATATTACGTGTGTTTTCCTGTATTTTGTTGGTGCATGTTTAGTTTTAGGAAATGAATAAACTTTTATCAAGAATAACTTTTTGTCGAAAAACTCTTAATAAAGAAGTTTCCCATATGGTGCATAATTTGGGGATGACACTGCACCCCAAATTATGGACATAGGGTTATTCTACCTAATAGTGAGTTAATTGTGCAATGTTTTCTACTTATTTGTAAAAACATGTTGAATAAAACTGATTCTCCAACATCAGAATCTCTGAAGAAAAACAAATAATTTTTCGAAAGTTGAGCTATGTTTAAATTGAAAGGGTTATATTTTTAGGAGTGACTAATTTTTGGAAAAGAAAGTTTTTGGCTTTCTATTATTCCATCTTGATACAAAAAAGGGGGAATTTTCCAAAAAAAAAGAAAGAAAGCAATCAATTTTAAAAGAAGTAACTTTATACATAGATGTGTAGATCATGCAAAGAAGTAACTTTCAGACACAAACTGGAAGAAAAAGCCTTCCTGAAACAGCCACTTTCATATAAACATTGAATTACATGAAAAAAAATTCTTTCGAAACAACTTTTCATTGAAATATACAAAAAACACTTTTCTCTATACTCAGTTTGTAACATTCGTTATGGAGTCAAATCAGATATCATTCACAGGATTTCTACACAGTACACTAAATGAAAGGTAAACATTTCACTTACATGGAACACTGTCATCCTCACTGGTAGACATCGATGTTTCGCCGTAAGACACTTGCCATAGGAAAGAAGTTTTCCACAATTTTTTGTATCAAGATGGAGTAGTAGAAAGTCAAAAACTGTCTTTACCAAAAATAGAGCTATGTGTTCGTAACTGAAAACGGAAACTAGTACATCTATAATCTAGAGCTTTTTGCATTATCAAAAACGTTGTTGATAATCATAATCATGATCATGACTACTATTGTGTAATATCAGCAAAAAATCAAAACCTGTGAAACAATATATGTTTAGTTACCAACATGGCTCACAAATGTTTGCTATGAAATTAATAAGAACTTCCTATTCAATCTTAACAGAGTATATAAGTATATTAACTCTAAAAATATTACTTTTCAATAAAGCGAAATCAAAAGCTGATAGCAAAAATAGTAACGAGATGATATCAATATTACCATCAACATCATTGAGCAAAATCACACGGAATCTACAAAAACTGTTTTTTAAATACTTGTATTAGAGTTCATTTATTTAATTTAATATGTCTGGGGATAAACTCATTTCGATTTTTGTCAATAGCAAAAACATTTGCTACATCGCCCAACTTGCTTAGATATATTAGATTAATTTTTTATGACTTTGAATTTTCTTTCATTTTGGCAGTAATATTTGTCGTTAGTAATGAATATAGGGCTTATAGTTCCCACATTCTGTCATCAAACATTGTCTTGATTCAAGGTTAAACTTATCGTGTGATACGAATTTTTGAAAGATTTGTAAATGACCTTTGAAAATATTTGATTACCAATTCTTGTATTTTTTTTTTATTTCCTTCAGAAAAAATTGTTGTTAACCATTATTAGAAATTAAAATGTTAGATTTAATTAGAATGTACCTAGATGAATATTAAACTAAAGAAGATAACGGTGAGTACTAGATACATCCATAGGTTGACTTTATTTGTTTAAAGTTAATTCAAATATTGTTACAAATAAAATTACGGTTTATGAGTATCATAAAATGGCACTAGGCAAAAAAAATTAAATAGAATAGAACTCTTATGAACAACTCAAATAAGAGTTAAATATAAACTGATGGATGTAGCCGTTACTACGTGGTAGGAGAAGATCATTATGAAAAATGAGAGATAAAATTTCCTATGTTTTTATACCACTTGTATTTGTAACTTACGTTACTATTGTTTCGTCCTATAAGGACAAGCAAGTAGTATATAAACATAAGAAGTTTTATTTCTCATTTTTGATAAGAACTGAATAGCAGGTACATTCAATTTTTTTATTGAAAATGAAAAATTAAATGGCTTTTTTTCAGTTTATACCAGGAAACAACAAATGCATTACGCATTCAGTTGTTTCTGGAGTAAGAACTTGAAATTCGAAAAAACCTATGGTTCCTTCGAGCCGATATTTCAAATAGAAAATCAATTGGAAAATTATTTTGGTTTTTAATAGAACCCTGTATATTTTTTACTCTATTTGATATAATGTGAAAATGAAATATTCTTTTCAATGATATAACATAAGTGACCACATGTCCTTTTAAAGAGGCGCTGTTTTCGCCAAATTCATTATGGCGGCAATATGACGACATCTATGAAAAAATTGTCGAACAACTTGATGTTATGAGAAACAAAAGACGATGTTTCCTCAGTTTTTATATAAAAATTTATGTACTACAATTTTTCACCAATTCACGTACTTTTTACCATGTTTTTAAATGTCACATTTTAATTCATAAACATAATAGGAAGTGGCATTTTTCATTAAAATGCACCTCTTGAGGTAAAAAAAATTTCAAAGATAATATGAATTTCTTTTTTTCTGAGATATATTTTTTTATTTCAGACAATAACTACTTTTAATGAGATGAAGTGGGACGATTTGAAACATTCACTTTTTCATCATTCCATTACATTACAAAATTAACCGCATAGTATCTTTGGCATTTTTTTGGTACACTTTGGTGATAAAGTTTTGAAATGGCATTTGAAAAATTTAATGAAAAGTACGTTTCAGTGCTATTTACAAAAATTTCACTTTTTCATTGTTAGTTTTAGTACCTACGCCATTACTGCTCAACGTTAGAATAAACAAATGTAGGTGAGTATTTGTAACGTATTTAACAGTCATGGGTAACTTTAGCAAATATTATAACATAAAATACCTCACTTTTTTCGAGTGAAATACGGTCTATTTTAAAAAATATCACCACAAAATCCGACTTGGATAATACTATAGGTGACATCCATTAGTATTCAATTGAAACATAATTCGCGAGTACCACAACGTAAGCGTCATCTAGATTCTATAATGTGAACGTCATACTCAAGGAAAATGCGTATTGCTGCCATAAGAATCTAGTCAGTTATATTCAATTATTCGCTGTTTTGATTTATTTATAATATTCGTTTTTGCAAATATGAAAACCAACTTTTAATGCTCAACTAAATGTGAATGATATGGTTCAGTGAAAATTGAAAACGCAGAGTCTTCAAAAAATCCAGAAAATTCAGATAAATGAAATAACTGGTTATTAAGTTTGTGTGCTTTCATAATGTGACATGATTTTACTCGTGAACATATTAGATGTCTTCATTTATGAAAAATATCTAATCGATTTATTTGATTTTCAGTAGTGTTCGGTTGATGTTATGATTACTACTTTGCCGACTTGATGATAGGGATGTGTACTATACCAAACGTCACACTGTCACATTATGACACTTGACATTCGAAGGTTGACACAAATTCAGCACCTCCCATGTATGATCCAGTTAGAATTTTTATTAATTTCAAATTAATCTTTTATTGAATATTTAAAATGATATTACTGGAAATAAATAACAGGGTAGTTGAGGAAACGCTTACTGTTAAAATAAAAAATTCACAGGCTGGGTAAGTAATTTCAAAAAGTATTTTTTTTACTTATTTTTCATGTCATGTAAATTTTGTGGGCTAGGCTGTTTTAGATAAAATTATGATTACAATTTCCTGTTCAAACATAAGACTGGGAGTAGAAGTAGATATTAACATTCTTATATAGTCTGTTAGTGTATAGTGTATTTATGACTCATTGAAATTCGTTATGATCAATTCTTTTTTAGGTTAAAAAACGAAAGCATTGACATAACTGTGGCAGATTTTGATGGTGTTTTATACCATATCTCAAATTTAAATGGTGATAAATCAAAAATAAGAGTATGACTTTCAGATGATTAAGATTTTCCACAAATAACATTTCATTTTTCAGACTAGTATTTCATTGAAGTTTTACAAACAATTACAAGAACATGGTGCAGATGAGCTGCTCAAACGGGAATATGGCTCATATTTAATTTCTCCTGAACCTGGCTACAATGTTTCTGTTTTATTAGATTTAGATAACATTCCTCAGGACTGGTTAACATTTGTTAAAAAGTTAGGATTGTTGAAGAGGAATTGTTTTGCTTCAGTATTCGAGAAGTACTTTGACTTTCAAGAGAAAGGAGATGAAGGTCAGAAAAGGGCTGTGATTCCATATAGAGACGATGAAACACTGTAAGTATTTGAGATAGATATAAAATTTAATGATTGAATATATTGAATAATTTTCGATAATTAATGTAGAACTAGATCAGTGTAGAATAAATCCAAAACAATAACTGCTCCCAAACATTAGAACTGCAACACATTTTTCGACACGCATTTCACCAACCTAGTTGGCATCTTCAGCAGATTAAACAGTCCAATATGAAATAACTGCAATAACTAATCTGCATTACCCAGCTAGTATGCTAGAAGCATTAGTAAACCATATTATCCATTCTTATGTGAAAACTGGAACATTCTCATTTTCTTTGAAGATTCCTGTTGTTATTTCTCTACATATAGATTTAGATAATTCCTTCAATCTGCATCTCATTCTGCCGATTCTAACTGTAGCAAGAAAGCTATTAGGACACACTATAAGTTGTTTAAATTATTCATTGTTAAAAAATTCACAAAAACAAGTATCATATCAATAATAATAAGGATATTGAGAATAAATGGACAATGTTTTTCACATATACCACCTACACAATACAAGCAGGTGAAACTTCCAGAGTTTTTCAAGTATCAACCATAATCCATTTATAGGTGGCCACTTTTCAAGTACCACCCACCACTTTGCTTAAAAAAATAGACTGTATTGTACGTATAAATTATCTGGAGTAACAATTATTTCATAAGATAATAATCCAAATAACCTTTACTCTGCACTCAAGAAATATTCTATGGATATTTCAATGGTATTACAGAATATGTTAAGACGACTTAATGTTTGAAACAGAAAATATTGTGACAAAGACAGTGAAAGATACTTGTGGATGTAAAACCACCAAAAACCACAATGTGAGATATTCATATCACAGGAAAAAGGATAAGGTCATTGAACAGTAGATGGTCAGTTACATTTTAATGCCTGTGGTGTGTACATATACGGTATTTTTAAGTTTAAAATTTTTGAAATGTTAGGTACTGATACGGCTGAAGAAACTGTTAATTTGTGTCTCCACACTCCACCTAAAAAATTTTCCTATACCCAGCCGCATATTATAAAAAAATTCTGTCATTCTTTAGTGCGACTCTGTACAAGCATCCTTGTCTGGGAGGTCATAGACACTATGCGTGATAATGTTTTGTAGCACTCCATTGCTTAAATGGATAGAGTATAGTATGTTTATTTGTTTTATCGAAAAACTACTCATAGCAGAAGGTTGAGAATTGGAAATATCGAATAATATAATGATGATAATAATGACTGACGAATAAAATTTTGTCTGTGGTACTTGTTTATTAGTTTAATAGAATAGAATGATAACTCCATACACAACCCATCAAACCCTCTGCTGTACCAACTGTGCTATACCAACTCAGGTATTACGCCAACAGATGAAAGACTACCGCTACCTACTCAGAAGTTTGCTGAAAAAGACTACAGTCTAGATATCATTAGAAAGTATGCTGTGATGAGAAACCCCGAAGCAAGAATCCGACATCGCCACCCAACAGAAACACTTCTTGAGAAAATAAGGCAGCTCAATCAGTTAATATTTTATTTTCTAATATTCATATATGCGTTTTTTCAGAAATATAAAATAAGAATGTAATTTAAAGCAATTTTGTAACACGGTCTGAAAGACCTTGGACGATAGCCAGTTAAGCAAAATTATGATTTTGTTCAATAAACTACAATTATTATTATTAGAATAGAATACTGGTAATGCCTATAAAATCCTTAGTATCATAATTTCTATATCTACTATAAAACATATTTTTTGTTTTATAGTCATCCATGAAATTTTATGCAACAAACTTGATAAATATGGAATCAAAGGCAAATCTTTGAACTTAATTAAATCCTATTTGACAAATAGAACCCAACATTTGATTGAAAATGACATCTCGAGGACAATTAAATCAGAAGTCAATTGCGATAAAAAAGGTGTTCCACAGGGATCCATACTAGGTCCATTATTTTATAGACTGGATCTGTCAGCTCGAAATTCACTCAACTTATATTTATACAATAAAATACCAACAGACATTACCAGTCTGATTTACAACCGTTTCAAGGCTAGAGTTAAGAACTCACTATTTAGCCACTGTTTCTACTCCATCGACGAATATTTGAATTATGAGACATTAATATTTTAGTATGTTACATGTGTTTTTTATTATTATTTTTTCCATAATAATTGTTTTAGATGTAATCAGCGTGTATAACAATAACTATCGTTCAATTATTGTTATTCTTGTTTGTCAATTTGACTTGTCACTATTGTACTTTTGTAGTTAATGTGATGAAATAAACATATTCTATTATATATACTGTACACAAATGAAATATACCAAATGTAGTTAATGAAGATAATGTATTATATGCTGATGATATATCAGTCATCGTAAAAGAAAAGAACTCTCAGTTGGTCATGACAAAGACAACAAATGTGCTAGATGTATTAAATAATTTCCTCACAGCAACTGACCTACTACTTAATATTGACAAAACTCAAATAATGTATTTCGCAAATAGATCCTTGCCAGAGTTTAATACCTTTGAATATAATAATAGAAAAATCACATAGACTACTTAAAAAAAAATATTGCAAAATATTGCTATGCTTAGAGAATACTGTCGGAAGATGTCTCAACCAAAGCTGCCCTCTCTGCATACCATGCTTATATTCAATCTAGGATAAAATATGGAATTATATTCTGGGGAAACTGTTGATATCTCTAGGATACTCATACTACAAAAAAATGTATCAGTTATATCTATAAGATGAAAAAAAAAACGATAGCTGCAGAGAATCTTTTATAAAATTTTAACTTTGATAAATATCTATATATATGAAGCAGTAGTATTTGTAACAGAAAATAAATCATAACTTTTCATTAACAGTTAAAAGGATCACTCATACAACACTTGATCAAAGAATGATCGTAGAAATGAGAAATGCAACTATACATAAATACAGAGAAATGTCAAATATAGTGTTATAAACGTTTACAATAAATTTCCACTCAATCTAAGAAATCTTCCAATTCCAACAACGAAATGTCGTTTGAAGAACTACCTCGTAGAAAAACCTTATTATAGCTTGCAGGAATTCTTAAAGGATAGTATGCTAACTATATGAATGTTATTTATATATGCCTGATTTTATATATTTTTTTTTGTCTTAAAACTACTCTTGTGATAATATTGATTATGTATGTAAAGCTTTGATTTTTTATTTAGTTATCTATCTATACAACAAAACAAAATTTGCTTAGATAAATGTAAGTGCTACCACATTTATTTTTGTATTGCCAGATAACAATAGATATATAGTGACTCAACAGTGACATATGAATTTCAAAAACTACACCTCACGATTTGATCTCCACAAACTTTATTTGAAAAATATAATCACAACATGTTTCGCTAGAACAGAAGCTTTCTCAAGTGTATATGATTAAGTCATAATCGATAAAATAAAGAACATACCTCTACCAGACAACGCAAAATTACTATCCTTAGATGTGCAGAATCTATTTCCTTGCATACCTCCTGATGATACTAGTACTTTAGTAATAGAATTAGTAGATAAAAATAGAGTGAACCCAGTCATAAAACGGAAAATAATTGACCTTCTGTCGTTATGTCTCAAACAAAATTATTTTCAATTCAACAACAATATTTATTCCTCCTCAAAAGGTTTTATTATGGGAAATCCATTTAACCTCTTACTTGCAGAAATATTCATGGATAATCTAGAGAAGTCGATCTTTAAACATCCTTTGATTAAGAATTTCTTGTATTGGCATAGATATGTGGATGACGTTTTGGTATGTTTTACAGGTACTAAGAGGCAATTAGATACTTTTCATAGGGATATTAACAAAATTCATGAAAACATTAAATTCACTATTGAAATAGAAGACAACTCAATTAATTTCTTGGACTTAACAGTTAGTAGAAGGAACAGACAAACATGATTTTTAAATTTATCACAAACCGTCCTATACGGATATTACTATACATTATGATTCTACCCATCCTTATCAACACAAAGTAGCAGCTTATAATAGCATGATTCACAGATTAGTCAATGTTCCTCTTTCAATAGATAATTTCAATAAAGAACTTGAAATCATCGAGCAAATTGCGGTTAACAATGGATTTAAAGCAGAATTAATTAACAAAATACTTGCCAAGAAAATCTAAGCAAAAGCGATTTGGGACGATTTTCCTATTGATAAGGTAGATAATCAAAATTATAGAACTTTGACATGTTTTGGACAACCAACGGAAAAAGTGGCTTCATTTTTGAGGAAACGAGATATTAAAATTGCATATAGAACAAGTAATACGTTGGGAAAGTTAGTTAAAATCATATAGAAAAGACATCCAAATTCGAGAAATCATGAGTATATAAATTAAAGTGTGGAACGTGCCCTAAGGTATATATTGGTCAAACTGGCAGAACATTTAGGAATCGAATCCAAGAACATCATATGAGCTATCTAAATAAGAAAACAAATTCAAATCATCTAGAAGAAAATCATATATTTAACAAAGAGTTCGAAATTTTGCACGTAGAAAATAAAGGTTTGAAACTGAATCATTTGAAAGCAATGGAAATTAATAAACTTAAAAATTCAAACATTCTAATGAATGACCAACTAGATTTGAATAGATCACCATTATTGAACTTGTTTTCTTAAAATCCCAGTAAGAATTATTATTGATGTAGATGTGAGGTAATATGCTTTAGGTAATCATAATTCAACAGGTACCTCAGAGAGAGGTTCAGGTAATTTTTTGGAGGTAGTCTCAATTATGGTTACCTGTAGTATATAAATATTAATGTAAGAACAATTTGAAGTATTCATACACTTGAGAAAGCTACTGTGCTAGCGAAACATGTTGTGATTATATTTTCCAAATAAAGTTTGTAGAGATCAAATCGTGAGGTGTAGTTTTTGAAATTACTATGGATCTTCAAGTAACGGCCGAATCAATCAGAAAAAGAAAGTGACATATGACTTGTGATGCACTTTTTGGAACCTTTGGTGTAGTAATGAATATTACTGGAGTTTTTTCCCAACACCAAACCGTTACTTTAACACCTTGACACGTGTTTCGATCACCAAGTGATCGAAGGAAGATCAAACTGTTTTGATCTTCCTATTGAAGATGATCACTTGATCATCGTGTCGAGATGTTAAAATAACGGTTTGCTGTTGGGAAAAACTCCAGTAATGTTCATTTATTTTTTAGTGACATATGAACAAAAAAGTTTTTCTACACTGTACATCGAGGAATTATTTCACTACTGTTATGAAAAATGGCGTTTCGTTCTTTATGTTTTGTCGATCTTCTAATTGGATGTGTCTAGTGACTGAACTCAATTCCAGATCAGTTTTGGAGCTACAGCGTCTTGAATTTGGCCCAATTTTTCCAAACCGTTTTTGGAAAATTGAAAGAGCACATTTTAGTGATAAGCCAATAATGTTTTGTTGCACGTTATGCATATTATAAAAATGAAGATTGCCTACAGTTAGAGGATGGTCCACTAAAACAGAACAAGAAAAATGGGAAATAATTATTGTTTGTGTGTCTGTAAAAAACAACTGATACTCAATTCAATTGAGTTCAGTATGTATCTTTTGTCATTTAGAGATACCACTTTAAAGGATTTTTAATCGTACGTTTTGTTTGAAACAAAAAAGAATTGCTCAGGCATTATGATTTGGAAAATACGAAAAAATATTTCTCAATAGTGATGTATAGGCAGGCATACAGCATAATGTGTAAAAATTTTATTTTTTTTGTGTTCCATAATAATTAATAATTACTAAAATTTATAGAGAATAATGAGCCTTTATATATTAAATATTGTGTTGATTGTTATTTTTTGAATCTAATTAGAATTTTTTTGTTCCGTTTTCAAAATTTGTTATAAAAAGTAGTGGGCATATCTCAACTTCAACTCCCTATATATTGAAAATTGGTCATACAATTGAGTTGGGCCCATGTACACTTTTGATCAGAAGGTCGAGTAGTTGCAATTTGCTAAAATTTCTGAATATTCGATGGAACGCCATGTTCAATAATAATAATAATTATGACAAAATGGTTTAGACTTTCACGGCTGAGGTTTTCAGTGTCATTTTTTTTCGAGTTTGAAAGCCGTGGATTTTTGGAATTTCTTCCTAATAATAATATTTTATTTATTATTCCTAATAATGATATTTATTCAGTTGGATCATCTAGAGATGACATTGAGTATGTCAAAACGTGTTGAAATACAAACTTAAAAATACAAATTCCGTGTACTTGGAGGCACAATATATAATAGTCAAAAAAACCCAAAATAATCTGTTATTTGAAGGTGATTGACAATGTTTCGTGATTAATTTCACTAGGATGGAAGTCCGAACTAGTGAAATCTGCTATTTATGAAACAGCATCGTTATTAAAAACGGCCTAAAATGTTGGATATGTACATACTATAATATAAAAGTCAAAACTAAAAATGATCTGTTATTTATGTAACAGCATCATTATAAAAATCTTCCTAAAATGTTACAAATGTACACGGTCATAAGTTATCATCCATATATTCTTTGAGAGAATAATAGGATTTATCCAGGAACAACTTTTTGATTCGATAGTTATACTGTTTTAGAGCTAGATTTTTTATTGTACTTGGAAGTTTATTGTACAATTTAAAGGCCATAAGCCTGGGACATGATTCAGATACAACTAATCTGTGTGTTGGCACTTCCAACTGTAAGGAATTTCTAGTATTATAATTCTTATTGCCATTAAGAGTAGGAAAACTGGTTGTGTGCGATTTTACATATTTTAATATCTCAGTTAATATTCTGAGATTTTGGGAGATGAGTTTGCAACTTGTCCTTCTAGTAACTTCTGCTATATACCTTATGGTTCTTTTTTAAATTTTGAGTATTCTGGAACAATCACTAGATGCTCCCCAAACGATAATACCATAGGAAATATTACAGTGAAAGTATGCATGGTAGAACATTAATGAGAGTAATCTATTTACATTCCAGCGTAGTTGTTGAATACAATAAGATATCGAGGATATCTTTTTACAAATCGTATCAATATGCTTGTTACATTTGAGATTTTCTGTTATCTTCAAACCCAAAAAATGTGTCTCCTCTTGTTGTTGAATTGATCCATTAATTGACGTTACTAGTAAACTATGATCTGGAGTAGTTCTTGAATGATTAAAACGTAAAAGCACAGTTTTTCTTTCATTTAACAAGATACCATTGTCTGAGAACCACTTTTGGGTTCTTTTTATTTCATCAGATGCTTCATTAACTATGGCTTTAATATTTTCCTGAGTTGTTATCAATAAAGTGCGGGGTCTTGGCAGTTTTTGATCAATTTTTTTTTGTATTGATAATCTTTTAAAGAAATACAGTTTGAAAAAAAAAACTGTTCTTGAAGTTTTCCACTGAAAGTGCTTAAATAGAAACATTTTTTTTTAAATATGCCGATGTTGGCAAACCAGATATTTACCAGGACTCAAAATAAGAAAGTCATTTACTGTAAGACTGATAATAACATCAAAAAGTTCAACTATAGTGATTATGGATAAGTTTATGAATATATTTCTTTCAGGTACGTAGAGGCGAAAGCGGACCGAGTGACAGTGGTGTTCTCAACAAGATTCCGAGATGATGACGACGTCGTCCTCGGCAAAGTTTTCATGCAAGAGCTCAAAGAGGGCCTTCGGGCGTCTCACACCGCCCCGCCGGTTCTGTTCAGCCATCGAGAGCCGCCGCTCGAACTGCAGAACACTGACGCCAAAGTAGACAACAACGTCGGTTATGTGACGTTCGTTCTCTTTCCGAGACACACCGCTAGAAGTACACGCGACAACACGATCAACCTCATCCACATGTTCCGACACTATCTGCACTACCACATCAAGTGCTCCAAGGCGTACATTCATAGCAGGATGCGGGCAAAGTCTTCCGATTTCTTGAAAGTGCTCAACAGGGCTCGACCCGAGAACAAGTCGACCGATAAAAAGACTATTAGGTGAGATAATGATTTTTTTTTATTGACCATAAAGTTGAAAACCAATAATGTTGATATTTTTATTGGGATACGATCATCAACGGTCACAGCAAAAGTCAAAATTACAAAAGGTCAATTCTCATTCTATTCGCCCTAAGAAAAAGTAAGATCTGATTTTTTTTTCAATGATAAAAGTTAAAATTGAAATGAACTAATGTTACGTTGACATATTTATTTATTTATTTAATTACGAACTTGCCATTATACAATGAACACATAAATAGTGTTTGTTTGAAGGCGATTGACAATGTTTCATGATGAATTTCACAGTTCGGACTTCCATTGTCTAATTTATAAAATGATTTGAAATCCCTGAGAGAGAAAATGAAAATGAGAGAAATCCCTAAAAGAGAAGAATTGAAAAAGGAATAGCTGAAAATAAAAATTATATTAAGCAAAAACCTGAAATGAATTAAAATACATGGATAGATGAAGTCGTCTACGATTTTCCATATTGGGCCATTCTAACTCTCTTAATTTTTGAGATACGTGGTCATACCGACATAATCCGTAAATTAATCGTACGCAAACATTCTGAACCTTTTGAATCTTATATTTAAATTCATTATCAAGACAAGGACCATACAAAAAATCACAATAGGTAAACTGTGAAAGGACAAGGGTTTCACACAGAGTCTTGCGCAAATTTACATTAAGAATAAACCGGTTGCTGTAAAGAGTTTTCAGTGAAGTGAAAGTTTTTTTAAGAATGCTATTTACATGAGATTTGAAATGGAGATCGTTAAACCCAAGCTTTTCGCCGATTCAACGGCCATTAATGGTACATCATTGATAGCAACTGCCAAATTTGTATGTATAAAATCGTATTGAGTTTTTGGTGAGAAAACTAATATTTTCGACTTGGACGAATTTAATTTCAAGTTATGAGAGGCACTTTTTTTGAATATAAGTTCAAGCTCATCATTCAGCAAATTCTGTGCATCATTCAGGTTTTCTTTAGGAAAACTAATTAGTACCTGCGTATTATCGGCATATGCCTGAACATTGCAAGCGGTATAGATAATGAAAAATAGTGGACCGAGAATACTTTCTTGTGGTACTCCCGTTTTAATTTCAACGTAGTCAGAGTTTCTTTCATTTGATACTATCTTCTGTTTTCAATTCGTTAGATATGACTTAACCATTGCAGTGTTATCAGAAAAACGGTAATATTTGAATTTAGCATATAAGAGACTATGATTGATAGTATCAAATGAGTTAGAAAAATGTAGAAGTGTTAACATACTAATGTTTCTTTTATCCAAATTAGCAATCACTGTATCTAGAACCTGAATGAGAGAATTAGATGTACTCATTTTTTTTCTAGAATCCAGTTTAACATAAGGGAATTAGTGAATTGGTTCGAGCATATTCTAAAATCTGGGCATACCTTTTTCTATCACTTTTGACAGGCATGGTAGAATACTTAGTACATGAAGGTCTGCTGGATTTGTTGGGTTCGCCACTTTAGGCAGAGGGCTTCCTATTGCTATTTTCCATAAATCAGGAAACTGATTTGTTTCTATGCTGTAATTAATGAGATGAACTATAAATGAATCAATGAAAGGGCTGCAGTACCTCAACATGATTATAGATATATCATCTATACCGAATGCTGTACTTTTTATCTCAAATAAAATGTCATGAATCTGTTCAATGGTAGCCATTTTGAATTCAAATTTAGGTTTATTCGCCTGACAAGAATGACTATCATAGAATTGAATTGCTTCATTACAAGTTGAATTGGTACATTCCCCCACCTTTTAGAAAAATAATTATTTATTACTTCAGGATCAGATAATTCTTCAGGAATTGTATTATTCTTACCTCTCACAACTTTGAAAGACCTCAAAGTATTCCAAACTCTCCTACTATCATTGACTACAAAAACTATTTAAATATGCTCTTTTTTCATTTCTTATCGAGGAGAGAGTGAAGTTGCGCAATAGTTTATATCTTTCCCAGTCTTGATAGGTTCTTGTTCTTTTATATTTACTCAAAGCAGTATTTCTTTGCGACATTAAAATTTTAACATTTTGAGTCATCCACGGAGCTTTTGGTTTAGTAACAACTCCAACACTCTGGTTCTTCTTGAATTTACATTGAAGTTAATCATTTGTGTTACAAATGGACAGTTTATATCACTATTTATAACGTTATGAAAAAGTCTTAGATCAATTTCAGCTCGGCGGTGCTCCAAAGTAGATTAATTCAGAAGAAGAAGAATGTCTGAGTACTCATAGTCGGACCTCAGGTATCCGAGCTTAAATGCACATGATCTCAGAAATTTGTTTTGTACTTTCTCAATCACAGATATATCTGTCTGATATAGAGGACTCCATATCACGCAATTATTATCAAAGAACAGTACAATATTTTAAAGGTATTTATAGTTGAAAAATAGATAAAGTTAAAAATTTAAACAAAGTGTGTGTGAGATATCATCGAAATTTTTTATTCGTTTGTCATTATGTGTGGAATAAAACATCGTTCAAACGTCCCCCATGGCTTCTCTGGGTAGAGCACATCTGAAACGTTCAATTTTCCATGACTCTAGCGCATAAATCAGGCTGAATTTGACCAATGGCATGGGTTATAGTGGCTTTGGGAACCGCTGTAATTTGTGGCTTAATCACATATATCTGTGACTCAAGAAACGCTCACAAGAAAATTCTTACGGGATCAAATCACACAATCTCGGTGGCCACTTCACATCAACTTCACGTGAGATGAACATAACCACAAATCGCTCGTGCAGAATATTCAATGTGGCATGAGCTGTGTGGCACGTAGCGCCATCCTGTTGAAACCACATGTTGTTGGTGTCCAGATCATTCAATTCAGTCCAAAAGAATTTGGTAATCATCGACGTATAGTGTTTGCCATTGACAGTGATGGCCTGGCCAACGTCGTTTTCAAAGAAATATGGACCTATGACGCCAACAGCCCAAAATCCACACCAAACAGTGATTCTTTCGGGAATCATTGGACGCTCTTGGATCTCATGTGGATTGGTATCGTCCCAAATTCGATAATTTTGTTTATTCACGCACCCATTCATCCAGAAATGGGACTCATCGCTGAAGATGATATTTCGATGAAAATTAGAGTCACTTGCCAACTGCTCCAGAGCCCATTCAGCAAACAAACGTCGTTGTCTATGGTCTTTCACCTTCAGTTCATGGGTCAGTTGAATTCTGTACAGCTGCAGGCCCAAATCACGACGCAAAAAGCCGAGTTCTCGTGAGCGACGCGAAATCAACTGCCTCGGATTCTCCTGCACACTCTCATAGACAGCGGCGATGTTTTCGGCAGATCTTGCACCACATTGCAAATAGTCCTCTCGTTAGGACAATTATGGCGACAGTAAAATGGGCGAACCACGCACATGTTAGTTATTTGGTAAAACAGACTGAATAAATGACAACTGATTCGACAGATGTAGCTTCAACAAGATGGCCGTTATATATTGTCAACAGTTTGGAAGTCCCTATATTAAAACATATTGTAACAAATTTTAACTTAGCCTACAGTTTAACGAATGATAGCATTTATGTTTCAAGTAAAAAATGTCTGAACTTCTGGAGTTTTTGGAGACTGATATTTTTAAGTTTTTATGCTGAAGAACTAATGTTTTTATTGTTGATAATAAGGCCCTGTCTCATAATAAGTTGAGTTATATTTTGAGATAACCAGTTTGGTACAATGTCTTCATATTATCAAAATGTTGACTACTGTTTTCAGAAAACAGGTAAAACTTAGCGGACTATAAAAACTTACTATGAAGAACATATTCCACATATTCGGTTTCATAGACCAGATAAGTCCAGTGGTGTTCGACATGCCACTGAGAATGGTCACAAAATAAGCGAGGAATGCTTGACATTGTTGAGACTGGTACATGACAAGTTTTTAGATGCCTTTATGTGTTTGAAAATTGCTGTATTGGCTGTATTCATTTTTTGAAAATAAAAAACCGTTTGTGTCAGTATAAATCGATAGAATAAATGCAGTTTATAGATTCAATTTTGATGGTCTAAATCTAAGTATGGGTGTGGCACAGGATTCAATAATGGGTCCTTTATTGTTTATCCTCTATGTGAGTAACATCGAATCAGCAGTTACTGGGGTCATTATGCCACTTATTCAGATGAGTTTTCACTAGTTATATCTGTTATATATAGTAAGTCGAATATCAAGTTACTTCAATAACAAGGATGTATTCTTCAATGTAGATGAAACCGAACTTATTCATATTCACAATTAGCCAAAACAAGAGTGGAAAGCATACAGAGCATTTCTTCAATGTCCTCCCCTTTTTATTTTTTGAACGGGATAACTCAAAAAATTGAAATTTGGGATAGTGAAATTAATGCATGAATACTTTATTTTGAAGTGAAATTGACAGATGAAATTTTCAATATGGCGACTGGGCGCCATCTGGGAAAACAATTAAATGGAAAGGGGGATCTTGTGACATCTTTTTGAAGCTTCTGACAAATGCTTCACAACCATAGAATATAATGTCAATATCTTCAACTACTACAAAATGGCGGAACTTTTAATAATTGCCTGAATACATTGACATTCAACTACATAATATGATGTAATAAGCTTGAGGTTAGTTCAGAAGATGCTCGAAATGGTTGCCTTGAACTTCTTGACATATGAACAGCCTATCCAATATTTCACGCCGAACATTTTCGAACACAGTAACGTCAATATCTCTACAAATATTCATTATTCTCTGCAGTATATTCAATATTGAAGCAGGTTCAGTTTCGTACATATTTTGCTTCAAATAGCCACATAAAAAATTTTTGAAGGTATCAAATCTGGCGAGCGGGCTGGCCATTCTGTAGGACCTCGACAGCCAGTCCAACGACCGGGAAAAGTAGTATCCAAATAGTTTCTTACTTGTCTGGAGTAATGTGGTGATGCTCCATCTTGTTGGAATACAATATCCATATCGACTTCATTAGTATTCGCTTTGACGATTTCAGTGATGAGAGGGTCAACAGTAGTTTCCATTATATTCAAATACAGTTTCCCTGTTGAATTTTGATCAATAAATAAAGGTCCTACAATATGGTTTCCCAATATTCCTGCCCAAACGTTAATTTTTTCTGGATATTGGGTGTTTCCCGGAAAATGTGACGGTTGGTGTCACTCCAATAACGGCTGTCATACTGACATTTTTTGTCGTTTTTATAAACAAAAAATAACTTTTAACAAACTTTATCGGGTTGATGGAATTGTCATATGGCAGATCAAAAGGAATATTTCTAGAATATCGATATTAATGTGTGTCTTCAGGAAATTATTAAATGTTCCGTCATTTTGTAGTAGGTGAACATATTATACTCCGTGTTCTAGGATTGTGAAGTATTTGTCAGGAGCTTTAAAATGATGTGTCACAAGACCCCCCTTTCCATTTAATTTTTTTTTCCAGATGGCGCCCAGTCGCCATCTTGAAAGGTTCATCTGTCAATTTCACTTCAAAATAAAGTTTTCATTATTGATTTCAAAATTGATTTCATTATCCCAAATTTCAATTTTTTGAGTTGACCTATTCAAAAAATAAAAAGGGGGTAACATTAAAGAAATGCACTGTATATTCCATTTAACAAATACCGATCACAATGTAAGATTCTTGGGAATCATTCTAGATGAGTTCCTCAACTGGAAAACCCATAGTTTCTCTGTGTTCAAGAAAACATTAAAGAATTATTCATTGGAAAAATATATTTACACTTCACAGGAATTCTTCGAATATCTCACATTCATTTTAGTTTTGGATTATGAGTTTGTCTTTTCCTTTTCTTCTCTTTTTTTCAATTTGTATTATGTATATTTGTATTGACAGTTCCCACACAATTTTATTGTCTGACTGGATTTTTGTTATTTTTATTGTTATTCGTTTCCAAACAAAACTTTTTAGTCATTCAATTATTTTTGTAAATGTAATTGAATCAGTGATTTGAGAATCCCCAATTATCCGCAAACTCTCAGAAAAAGCAAACATTTTTTTCAAAACCTGCTAAATTTGGATAATGAGAACTTTCTATCAGGTTTGCAGTGTTTTTTTGAACCTGGGCATGTAGGGTATGTAGATCTGCATCACATTATACAAAACCATAGGGGTTTCTCATTTTGACTAAATGCAATACAATGTCCTATTTCAAATATTTGCCCTAAAGTGTACCTTTTTTTAATGGACTGGCTAATCAATTGAACTCTTTATATTGTTTCAGTGGAAGAATATTTGTGAGAAGAGATTAATGAGGGATAACCTAGTGAATGATTGACTTAAAACAAGGACTAAAATCAACTGCCGAGGTTACTTCGACCTATCCTATAAAATCCAACTGTTTGATTCTTCTCTAATATTTATTTTCAGTTCAGAATAAGTGTGGATATCAAGTCTTTATATTTCAACAGTTGTATTTATTTCATTATGACTCTTCCCATTTGTCTTGTAATATTTATTTATAATGCAATATCAACCAATGCATTTTTTTAAATTAGGTTGTGCATTTTCAGTGTTGGCTTCGAATTGGACAGTTTTGTTTTATAAATGTTCACGATTATTGAATATTATCACAATTCCTTGAAGAAAACACTACGGAGGAGCTGCAATATCAGCTGTATTGTATATATCAAAGTTTCTGAACTGTGCTTCCTCGAAAATCGTGGGTGAGCACTTGTTTGAAAAATTGTATATTTAAATTATTAATAAATACACTTTGTATGTTTTATGTAAAGGGTGAGCCAAAATAGATAGGAAAAGCTTCTGAGTTTCAGATTTTATGAATATTTATTATTTTAAACTAACAAGATTATCGAAGACAAAAGTAAGTCAGTGTGGTTACCCTTTTGGTCCACTTTCCATTTTTGCCTACGTTGTTTAGAATTAGGTTCTGGCTTCGTTTTGACTCAAGATTTGGCAGTATTTCATCCCAAGATTTTTTTTAATTGTTCGGAGAAGTTTGTCAATTTCCATTTTAAATGAGTGTGAAATAAAATCAATTGAAATACCAATAATTTGATTTTAACTTTGTTATTTGAAATATGATTTAAGGTAATAGACAGTAAACGTTGTTCTGCAGTTTTAAGCTACTCGTTGGGGAAGCCTAGCTCAAAGTTACTCCAACTCGACCGACAAGTACCACTCCATAATCTGTCTGTCTGTGGTAAAATTTGTTTTTCCGTTAACCAGCTGTCATCCCCCTATAAACGACAACTCTCAAAAGTAGAAACTTGCGCGTTTCATTTATCATCTTTATGAATTACATGGCACACTGCTGTCCTAATGAAAAAAAAATATTTATGTATGCTGATGATACAAATATACTGGTCTCAGAAACTAAGACACGGGAGGGCAGTAGCAAGGGCAAATATCACCTCAAATGAATTTCATAAATGGTGTGTTTATAATGGTAAATGTATCTGAAACTTTTTTTGTGGCATTTATAACGCAAAATATGAACAATGATGTGAGTTATCTGGTAGGAATCAATAATAAACGTATTGAACATGTGAAGTCTAAATTTCTTGGAATTATTATGTACTATAAGATGACATAGTAGGAACACATCAATGTTCTTGCGAGAAAATCAAGCACTATGTGCTTCATAATTAGACAGTTACAAAGAACAGTGTTAAGTCCCTATTAACATATTATGGTCTGATGCTTTGGTGCAATTCAGCTCTCATTAATAAACTATTTGTCATGCAGAAAAAAATTATTAGGTCCATGGTTGGAGCTCATCCGAGGACTTCATGTAAACAGTTATTTTCAGTTACAAATTCTTACATTGCCTTCACTGTAATATAATGCAAATTACTGTATATATATAAAACAAGAGGCTTCAGTGTTTTCAAATAGTTCTATTCACAAATATTCAACTAGAAAGAGTGAAAATGTACATCAACCTTTCTCCAGATCAACGATTAGGCAAAACTGTTATATTTATCAAGATGTGAGGAACAAGGACAAATTGTCAAATCTAAACTGCTTCAGGAACACTCTTCACAAATACTTGAAAGAAAACGTATTTTATTCTATCATAGATATAATTTTTATATTTGTATTTGAATTTCCTGATATTTAATCTATGTAACTGCTCAGGCAATGAATTGTAGAGTTTCACAGCACCGAAAGTAAATGATCTCCGAAACTATGCAGTGCGATGTTGTGGCATGATTAATTTGTTTTTGTATCTAATATTCGATGAACTACTAAGGATACAAGAATTCAATTCCTTCATATAACATCATAAAAAAGGATAATTCATAAACTCATTAAAAGTTAGACCATATAGTTGCCCAGATTTCAGTATTCAAAATACACTTTCGATTTTCATAGTATTGATATTCATAAAGTTCAAACAAATTCTGAAATTAGAAAAAGTATCGAATGTATGAACTAATTTCGAATAAATACAAATATCTTCATACTTTTGTCAGAAATTTCAGGCTATTATTCTTTTAGCAATCGAATTTTCAGGCGGTAGTTGCTATAGAAAAAACCTTTGACAAGCAATAGGCTATTTGACCAGATAAAATATGTATACCTAGTGCGTAGTGCCACAGTGTACAGGTACATCTATACATACTTCACAAAAACTGTTCCAACAAATCCTAAAAGATGTAGAAAATGGTTATAGTTAGCTTGAAGAGATCCTAACAGCATTTTATCGCGCACAAATGTTTTATGTATGAAGCTCTCTTTGATATTGGTAATAGTTTATTTATCATGTTTTCCTTAGTTTTAAGTAGAGTATATCCATTTTTTCACGAATGGTGATTTTATTTTAAAGTGATTCATACTTACCACCTCGATATTGGGTACTTCACATGCTAAGTAAATATTTTGAATTTAACATGGTGAAAGTTACAACTAACTATATGAAGTACACATTAGGCTTCAGTAAAAAAACACTTTCAACAGATGATGGCTGTACCAACAGAATTTGATGGTTAGGATCGCAAAAGACAGCTGTCTGATGATGAACTGTCTCGAAAAGCAATCATTAAAAGGAAAAAACTTGACATTTTCAAAAAATGTCTACAAAGTGAAAATGCTACAGAAGTCCATAACAAAAGCTTTCAAAAAGATCAGAAAGAAATATAAAAAATTGATGAGTCTGAAAATGAATAATTATTTTATCATACTGCTCATGAAGTCATAATAATATATTTATATGTATTTCATTCAATCTATCAGAGAAATTTTGAATATTTGTCTTATCGATATTACCAAAATCTCAAGATAGAGAAAAGATAATCGACCTTATCATGTAGAAACATCTGTTCAAATAACAACATGAAGTGAATAAAGTATATTTGATTTTGCCTTTGGTTTTTATTTAATATTTGTAGTTTCACACACAGGTACTATGCTTCAAAAAAATTTCGTAAAAACTACTAACTTTTTCATTACTTTACTTTCCCCATCACACCTAATATTTTGGGTCAACATCTGATTTCATTCTTGGTAGTTGTTTCATTAAGAACATTGCAATGAACACTGCATTACATCACTGTGTATATAAACATCTTGATATTTAAACAACTCACAATTTTTATTGTTTTTGTCTTCTGTTAGAAATGCTGATAAACACGGTTTTTTTTTTAATAGACAACTGCTGCACAGTAATGTATTTCAGAGTAGTTCTTACTCTGGACTTTATCCAACAATACTTGACTGAAGTGCATGCAGGTGTCTCACAACGGCGAGGACCCACATTAAAAATGCAACTGCATATTTATATCCTCTTGCTGAAGCAGCATAGTTCATCCTCGTACACAAATCTATGATATATTGATGGATGTATTTTATATAATTTACATACCATGTATATCATTAAAATGGCCTTGTTTCAAAAAGATTCAATGTTATCTTATTTATTTGAATTTATAGTTCAATCTGATGAGCTGATTTCATTTATTTTTCATATTCTCAAATGTTGAATATCAAGATATGAAGATTATGAATATCTTCTGCTATAACCTCTATAATTTCCATTCACTTTCAAAAATTCAATTGATGTTTGTCATGATTATTGCCATCTAGTAAAAACTAAAGGTATTTGTGTTGCTGCAATTTTACAGTAAAAAGTTTTTGAAATATTACTACAAGAAAGAAGAACATAATTACAAATCAGATTTATACACTATTAGGAAATATAAACACAAATTATGTTGATACTAATTATTTCGCTAGTCGGTGAAAAATGTAATATTGAAGTAGGAGACAATAGGTATATGACTTAAATATGTACATTTTTTTAGTTTTTCATTGTACCTGGGCCAACCAGTACCTATTGGAATTTTATTTTATTTATTTTCATTCGGAAGACATGCTCATTAATTGATTGTTAGTATATCCAGGATGCATGTTGATATTATTATCTCAAAGACCATTCCTTACACCCTTCTGATAATCAGCAACGGGTTTACTCTGAGAAAATGCATTGAAATGATATGCACAGCGTTCTACATCTGTTCATCCAAGATTTATTTTGTTTTATGATGAGTCGCTAAAAATAAAAGCTCCATTTTTCCGATTTCCTCAAATGGCTATCACCTATTTTCATGAATATTGAAGGGAAATCTGTGAGTAATTTATGCCAATTGAATTATATAATACTATTATTATCTTACAAAAATTTCCAAAGGCATCAATACAAAGCATAACATAGAATACAAAATTATTTCATGCCGTTTTTTATCTTCTGTACATTTTCAAATATAGTAAATCTATCAAGTTATTGTGTAGGTTTTGTATTCCATGTAATACCTTTCAACATGGAAAAAACTAGTTATTTGTACGATGACATTGAATTTGGAAACACGGGCAAAAGAATAACAGTTTCGAATCAGTAAATCTCTATCACAACCAATCTTTCTACATCAGATGAAAATATGTTCTAGAACTGAAATTTTGATTTCAATAATATATAGGTATTCATACACAGTAAATAAGAATAAAACATATTTTTTTCATTTCACTTAAAAAGACATAATCTGAAAGGGAGTACAAAAATAAAAATATTGAAGGAAAAATGAAATAATTGACTGAAATTGTGGAAGTTAAGTAAAGTCATTGAAAATACAAAAAGCATCAAGCAATTGAGTACAATGTNCAAGCAATTGAGTAGAATGTTATCCTTGATTATTTTTTCCTATATATATTGTAAATGAATGTTTTCACTCTGGTCCAGTCTTTGTTGTAAAACACATCTGGATATTTGTTTATCAATTCCAAACATTCTTTTTTTCTAGGGGCTTTTTTTGAGCTAATGTTATTTTCAAAGTAAGTTTTTACTAATCCTGCCTGTTCAGCTGTCCAAGCTGTTCTACCAGTTATCTCAGATTTCAATTCAATATGTTGCTTATGTTGAGGTTTCACTAAAATAATAAAAAATTAAATGTATGATAGACAAACTATAATATATTCAAGTAAAGGTACAGCAAGCGCCAAACGTGACGGCAAGCCCGCCCCCATGCGCACAAACTAATTTTCAAAGTAAAGACATACAAATGCTCTGTACAGAGGCGTATCATTACTTGTCCTCCAATACTGTTGGCGTTTGGCATTGTCTAAATAATGTGTGTTGTTTTTTAGAAAATGTCATCGCCTAAAATAAGTTCATTTTTGGATAAGTTTATAATTATATAAAATTTCAATGAACTGTACTACTACCTATATTACTAAATAAAATATGAAAAGAAATTAAAAAGAAGTCATGTT